CTAAATAGAAAGCTGATGTCTTATGCAAAGTTATTGAAACTAATTCAATATTAGATGACAGAATATTCTATTCAAATAGATAATTTAAGACTATGGATGAGTAGGATTCCAATATAACAGAAAATTCATACAATTCGACTTAAATGTTACTGAATGATTTATATCTATCAGTTTCTTTTCTCAATAATTTAAAATATAATCATGAGAAAGCTTTGAAACTTAATTAAAGATATCATTATATAAAGAGAGGATCTAACATTTAATTTGAAAAACATATTCAGGATATAATAGAAGTAACTGATATAACAATTTTACATTAAACAGAAGATTATGCTTTATTAATTGATGATCCAAGAAAAGCAGTAATCTAATTGTCCAATGTACATAAGAGATACTTGAAATTAGAGGGAACTTAAGAAGAAGATTTAGTTGAAATCACTCCTTAAATGAGCTATTGTGGAGAAGATCTAAGAAAATTTGAAAATGTCTCATATCCTTTGATTATATGAAGAGGACATGCTATTTGTTTAATATTGACTTTGTTAATAAAATATAAATTATATTTTTAAATGATTAGATCTTTAATTAATTTTTAAATAGTATTTTTATGAATAATTATATAAATCATAATTAATATGATTTGACACTTAATATTATAAAATAAAGGATAAATTACAGATTCTAAAGACTTTTTGATCATATTGAATAAGTAAATATTAATTAATTTTTTAATGATTAATTTATATGAAACTAAATATAAATAAGAGTAAAGGATATGAAGAATAATTATAATTAATTTACTAAATAAAATCGAAATTATTCTAGTTCCATATTAACATCATATTAATAGCCTTTTAAATATAAGAATTTATAGTATGATCTAATTTCATAATTATTTTCACTTTAGCGAATTCATTATATCTTCATAATAAGAATTACTTCAAGCTAAACCCATAAATTTAAGATTTTAACTTAAAATATTTAATCTACTATAAAAACTAATTAAAAAAAACCAAGAAATTAAATTTTAAATATAAATAACTAATATAATCTCATAATAATAAAAAAATTTGTATTCAAATATGAATATTTCTTATTCTTTATGTTTAAAATTGTATAAAATTATATAAAATGATTAATTAATATATTATATATTCAAGATGAAAGTAAAAAAATTGCAATTTAATTTTTTGTGATATCTTTTCTCACATTAAAATTTATATGTTTATTCATAAATTTTTATAATAGTATTTAAAAATATTATTAATATAATTTATTAAACCATTAGCAATGGACTTTACAGGTTAATTTAGACTTGATGAGGATTCCTATAATTTTAATGTATTCCAGACACCTGTAAAGAACACTATTTAAGGTATAAAATTTTAAACATATAACACAAATTGATTCAATTAATACATATATAAACGCGCACTAATTTTGGCGCTTATACTTTAATTTAGTGGCAAAATTATTTATTTTAGATTTAGAAGGCCCCTGCGATTCTCAAGCAAATACTAATAGAAAATTATATGTTTAGAGCGAGCCATTTGAAATTAGCAAAATCTAATTTGATTCTCCAAAAACATTGAAGAAATGGAGTCTAAAATACATAAGTAAAAGAGTTGAAAATGAACTTCAAAATTAAACAGTTGGTTATTCAGAAATATGCTAAAAGCTAACAGAAGAGATGTCAAAAGAAATGGATGGTCAATTAGATAATGGATTAAAAGATATAAAAAATTTAAGAAGGAGAGTATATGATGCTTTAAATGTTATGATTTCAGTAGGAATAGTAGTTAAGGATAAAAAATTGATGAGAAAGAATACACAAAGCTCAGTCAATATAACAAAATAGAATTTAATAATTCGAAAGGTATATATAAATATTTAATTTAACAGTAAAAATTAAAAGAATTATTATTATAAAAGAAAGAATTGTTAACAAACTCAATAAAAAAGCAGGAAGCACTTCAAAATTTGATAAAATTTAACAAAGAAAGGGAAATTAATGAATAAGAAAAAATCAAATTTCCATTTCTACTAGTTAAGACTGAATTAAAAAATTCAGATGATGTAAATAATTAAATAATCTTAGGATGAATTAATTTTAGAATCTCATAAATCTATGGATTACTTGAAAGTTTTGAGTAAGAATAAATTGTAGATTTTTGGAATCCTTGGTATCGCTTAATAATTATTTCAATAAACTAAAAATTGAATATTTTTAATTTCTTTCATTATTAAATATGATAAATATTCTTAACTATTATTATTATTAATTCTTATGAATAATTGTAATTATTCTGAAAAATAATAATCAAATTTTAAAGAATAAATGAAATCTATTAATTATAAAATTTATGTTATGATCGATGTAATTAGATTAAGTGCATTAAAAATAGATTATTAAATATTAGAACAAATAAATGATATATATGATTAAAAATAAACCAGATACTTTAATAAAGATATAAAATAATGAGTGTTAGTTTCATAATAAATTAAAATTTAGTAGAATAATAGTTGAGTGATATGAAATTACTAATGGATAGTTTATTAAAAGATCAAGATATCTATAAATAATACTCAAAGTTTGCTTATTGATTTTAATCAGTATAAATATCTTTTATAAACTTAAGCATAATCAAGAAAATTTTGTGAATGAAAAAATCTAAAGAAGCATTTACTATTAAACTATAATTATTCACCATAATAATATTGAAACAAATAAAAAAATAAGTTCAAAAAATTACAATCAAATAAAAAACCTATAGATATATAAAATTTCAGATTTGATTAATCTAATACTAGTAAACATAGAATAAATTAAATAAATTGATCAAATATTGTTTTAATTAATTGAATTGATATTACTTTTATAAGCTTGAAAACTTTAGTTATATAAAGAGTAATTGTTTAAATTAAAATTGCAATTATTATAAAAAGATATAAATCTGATATCCATTTACTTTTTAATTTACAGTTATGATATTGTATTTTGTTTTATAAATTTTTACTTATGGAAACTTCCATCTAAATACAAAAATAATTAATGTGGAAGTTTTATTAAATTTAATACAAATTCTTAATTATTTTTCTTATTATTAAAAATAATTAATTAAACGAATTCTAAGTCACTTCAATTTATTATAACAGATTGCGTTTTAAATATCAAATATAAATAATTATTTTTATCAAATTAATAGAGACTTTATATTTTATTAAATCTTTTCTGCTTATATATTAAATTTCAGAATATAAGTGCCTCTATATCAACATTTTTTTCAATTATTTTTAAAATTGATTTAATCAAATTGTATGGCATCAATTGAATAGCTTTCTAAGGTAGAGGATCTATAACAAATACTATAAGAGGATTCTTCAACTCCATCTCATGAATCCGACTCTTCAGACTCTTCGTATGATTTTGCTTAGGACTTAAACCAAAAGCCCTCATCTAAGAGATCTCCAGAAGAAGAGAAAGAGCTTCTATATAAATATAGAGGTATGTTTTAAAAAAATCAATCATTAGGAAAACATGGGCTAAAGTATGCCAAAATATCAAATGAATAACGATAGAAGTTGATAAAATAAGTAACAACTACAGGGTGTACTATAAAAAGTGCAGCTAAAGAATTAAATATCAATTTTTCAACTGCTAAAGCAATTATGTAGATATATAGAAAAGAAGGAAGGACATCAAAGAAAATAAAGAGAGAGAATAAGAAAACATTAACCTCTAAGCAAGAAATTCTCAACCAAAGTAATTACAAATATTTAAATTTTTAGCCACTTCTGATAAACCAAATTATGGTGAATAAAGACAGACAAAAGTTGATGTAGTCTAAGATAATTTAGAAACAAATCTTTATCAATAAGCAGAAGAGACTAATAGGAATTAGGCTCTATTAATTTAATAATTGAATACGTAGGTAAATAAACTCAAATTAATATATATTAGAATATGTTATTATAAGGCAGAGTATAGTAATTGCAATAGGAAAAATAATAATTGACTCAAAATTACTCCTATTTAACTTATTAATATAACCAATTATAATAAATGGTATATAAATTTAAAATATCATTCATAGATGTCATAAATGGTGCCTTCGTATTATCGACCTTATCCTTGATTATGATCTTGTATTATTGTATTAAAAAATTGTATTAAATCAGATAAATTCAATCATATGAAATAAATAGTTTAAATATGATTTAAACTCCATTTATAAACTAATATTAAGTTAGCAAACCCTTTAATACTTCTCAATTAAAAATTTCTATTTTATTTATGTTAATCTAAATTTATCTAATATTTTATTTTGTGGAATTCAATAATTAATATATTTTTATAATGAAACTGAAATCAAATTGAAATTATTATCTGTAAAATTTATTTGTATAAAATATTTGTAAATTTGCAAAGATGTTAAAATCTTAATATTCTAATCTTAATTCAAAAAAATGATAAAAAAACAGATTATTTTTATAGAAATAATATTATTTATATTTAAAGAGTTTTAGTAGAGATTATTAAATATAGTATGATATTTTAGTATATATATAAATCATAACAAATTGATCTATTATTATATAATAGTATTTTATATTAGAGGGATTTAATATCCTATTATAAAATATAATAATGAAGATTATAAAGACCATAAAGTAATTGAAACTTTATGAACTTTAATTTTATTAATCATTTATAAATAAGGATATTGATTATATATTCCAATCGCTTTTGAAATACATGTATAATTCTTTATATTAAAAATTAGGATTAATCCAAGTATTCTTTAATTTAGTTTTAGTTTAAATCAGGAAGTATTATTGCTCTAACATTTTTGAGATGGCCTTCTTTTATTATTGAGATCCATATTAATATGTTGAATATTAATTAAATAGATTTATATACATATTATTAATGATAAAATATTGACAGTTAATTGTATTTATAAGCTATTGACATTCTATTAATATTAATTACAAAAATGGAAATCGATTAAACATGCACTCAACATCCTAAATAAAAGATAGGCTGGGTTTGCTTAGAGAAATAGTGTCTTTAACGAGTAATGTGTTCAACTTGTGCAGTTAAGATTCATGAGAAATAACATAAAGTAAATTTGAATTGACATTTAAAAAGTTAGAAGAACTTTCAAATTTATTAGAAAATGGAGTTTTATAAATGTATTAAAGTAATAGCAAAAACATAAGTCCTGGGCTTAAATATTTACTTAATGGTGAACCTGAGATAATCTAAGAAGAAAATAGAATTGGAAATGATAATAATTATTTTTAAAGTCTAATAGAAAGAAATCTAGGGGGAGTTTAAAAAAAAATGGATGCTTTTAAAAAAGAATTTCAAGATAAATAAAAAGAGATTAAATAAAGTAATTAGGAAGAGAGAAATGAAATTATAACAACTTTAGAATAATTAAATTAAAAAATAAAAGTATCAGAAGATGTTGGAAATGATATTGAAGAGGCATTCAAAAAAATATAATCTTATGTCAATCATAAAGAATATGAAATGAAACATAATAAAGAAGGAGAGATTGTTAATAAAAAGTAAATTATAAAATATAAAATTTTTAGAATTTATCTTCTAAATTTAATGAAAGATAACTTTGTTAAAATGATAAAAAATTATTTTAGTAATGCTTTTACAATAGAATTTTGTAGATTATTTGATATGCAAATGGAAACATTAAATTCAAAAGAAGTTTAAGATGTGAATGGATTTTTAGATTATGTCGACAGCAAATGGAAATAAGATTATAAAAACCTTTAAATATCCATAGAAAAATTTGTTTAAAAATTGCATGAAGGTCTGAAATATATAATTTAATTACCATTACAAGAGGAGAAAGTATATATTTATATAATTATAGCCATTAAAATAATAAATTGTTATCCCATAATTTACCTCTCCATCTAGAAATCCAATTTAGTATTAATAATAACCTTAATTTGTACCATTAACACCTTACAATTAAGTACCACCTTAGTATTAATTCCATTAATAAATACCATTGACTGGCTAAAGGGTATATCAAAATTAAAATTAATTCAATTCTGCTCCAGTTCCATAAGCTGATGTAGAGAACGATTATTTTGCCTAATCTTAAATAATCTATGAAGAGCCTTAAATGCGGAATAATACAAGACCTGATTTTGTTAGTTAGAGTTTATAATAATATTAATGATATATAATTTATAAAAAGTAGAGATTAAATATCAAATAGAAAATATATAGAGAATATTTTATCAAAATCTAAAAGGATTATTATGGATCTTATAGTAATTTATATAGTTATCAAAAATAGAAGACATTTAAAAATGCAATCTTTGTAATTAAAATTATCAATAAAAGATTCATGAAATGGATATTAAAATGTATGTATTTGTTAAGAATAAAAATTAGCATCATGTATATATTAAAAAATAGATCCTATAATAATTAAAAATTGATGGGATATTTACATTATATTCAAGATATCAAAACGATAATACCTGATAAGTTAAATTAGCATCAGATTATTAGATACAAATTTATATTCTTTATTACAGTATTTAATTTATTTGAAAATTAGTCATCAAATAATTTAATTTTATACAACTTATCTACTATAAGATATTTCCACTAAAAAAAAGAGTACATAGAAAATTACATAAATAATTTTTATTACTATTATATAAATTTATCTATTTCAAATCTTCTATAAAAAACTATCATTTTTTAAATACTAATCTAGTTAAAACAAAGTTGTTCAAATTATAATTATAGAAAATTAAAGAAAAGATTTTTTTGACAATTACAGATTTAAAGGCATTAACTATAATAATTTTTAAGTTATATAACAGTAACATACACATCTATAATAATCTTTGAATATAAATGAATATATTTTTAGAGAAAGATTAAAAATAATAGTTTAGTTGATTATTGAATAATAAAAAGTTATAATTACTAATGATCTATTGACTTAATATAACTACATTATAATTTAATAATTTTATCAAAATTATTATACTAATTAAATTCTAATATGTATTGGCATTAGATATATCTTGAACTTATGTTTTTTTTTAAGAATACTTAAAGTTATTAATATCAAGTAACTCTTTATTAATAAGAAATCAATAATTTATTTTGATAAGAAAAAACGAAGGCATTTTTTTATTATTTGTTTTCATAATATAAAAAATAGATTAATTGTTACATATATTATAAATAATTGATTTTATAGTAAAATGATCTTTAAATAGAAGTGAATAGAATTCTTTTTCTTATTAAATAATATTTGCTTTATTAGAATTGAGTTTATGATATTTATATAAATTTTGATATAATCATGTAAGTAAATACTAAATAAAGAGTGAAAAGATTTTTGGAAAGAATAAAGAGATCTTAAGAAAAATTAAAAGAATTGTAAAAAATAGAAAATATTCCAATTTTTCTCTCGTTAACCTTCATTTTAATTATTTATGCTGGATTATAGTTTTTAATATATTAACCAAATTAGGACGTCTATTAGTAATTTTTGAGCAACTTAAATCAAGATATTATTGTTGATTTTTATATTGAATGGAATGAATAGACTTGCTTAAAAAAAGATTATTAACCTCTATTTTAATACAATTATAGTAGAGTATTTAAAGGTTGTGATTGCAGTTAAAGTAGAAATACAACTGGAAATGAAGAAACTAAGAAAGAAATCATTATAGGGTAAGGATGCACTAAAAAATATCTGAATTAAGGATGTTTTACTTTTAATCAAGAATTATAATAAGATATAATTTATTTGAATAACAATGATAATGGATCTTGTATATTTATTAATTTATATTTAGAATTCCTTATATGTGTAAAAAGATAAAAAGATATTTCTCTTAAATAAAATCACACTTATTGTTAATTATAAGAAAAGACTATTTGCAAAGCATAAGATCTTATATATTGCTTACCACATAACATTAGTTGTCCTATTTCTGAATTTGGAATAAAAACAATTGAAGAAATACATCCAAATTTTACAAATTCATTAACATATCTTGGAAATAATAAGTATTTTTATTTTGGAAATAATAACAATAATATGCCTATTTCTTAAGTATAATTAATAAAAGGAGAAAATATTTGTAAATTAAATAAATAGTAAGCTTTTTCTGAACAATAATTATATACAGAAAATTTGAAATAGGCTTGTGAGGAAATTGACCATCTATTTTCTTAAATATATACAATATTAGAAGAATAGCTATTTCTATCAAATAATTTACATTATTATAAAGATGTTTTAAGCTATTTTTATATTGATAGAATTCACAATTGGACTTTGCAAGCAAAACCCTATACTTTAATATCTCCTGAATGTTAAGAAAATGAATTCTATTAAAAAATATTAACAAACGAATATTAAACCGAAATTAACCACTAAAGAATTCTTTAACTAACATTCATTTTCGTAATATTTTTATTTCGAATTTTATAAATATTCATAAACTATTAAGTTTATAAAGATTTTCAAGAATAAAGAAAAATTAATAATCGTTTTCTATAATTAAAAAAAAAATGTTAATAAAAGGATAAACAATAGTTGAATTTAAGTTGTTGTAATATCTATCCAATAATATCAGTAATAATATTATTTTGCTATCTCATTTTAATTGTACTAAATAAATTGAATATTGATTCCATTTTTGAAGAAATTGAATAAATCTAAAGTATTCCTTGCATAGTAAGAGATGATGCAAATAATTACTTAAAATATTCAATATAAGATCATCCAGTTTAATTATTTTTAAGTCTCCTCTATTATACTTTTATAATTTTATAAATTATTACAGTACTAATTTACATATTAGAATAAATTGGACTTAAAAAAGATCGTTAATATGAATAAAATAATAAATTTATCTTAGCTAATTGAGGAGTGATTTTATTTTTTGTAAGAAACATATCATAAAATTTATTATAATTAATTTTCTATTTCAAATAGTTTGAATTTTAATAAAAAATTAGTATGAATATATTTATATTATTCTAATTAAAATAGAAATTCTACAAATATAAAAAAAATAAATTAGAGTTTTTAGACTAACTTTTTTTTGCATTAGATTAAATTACTATAAAAAATATATTTAAAAATTGAAAATTCTTAATTAAGATATATCAGATCTAAATAATTAATCTAATAGCTTTGATTTTATCATATACTAATAACAAAAATATTGAAATTCTCTTTCTTTACTAATCTTGTTAAATGAATACTTTTGTGTAATGATATTTATTCATAATGATAATTTTTAAAAGATTTTTATTAAATGATCATGAATATTAATAAAATTATTATTATTAATACTTATGATTAAAATAAGGAAACAATAAAATATTATATTCCTTTGATTTATTTATTATATATTATATAAATAACTAAAAGGATAAGATTATTTATTAAATATTTATTGAGTTAATTTCCTTTAATATTTTTTCAACCTCTTGTTAGTTATTTAATTTTTAAATTATTAAAATGTATAGTTAAATATTTTCTAATGAAGATTGTATAGTCGAGTCTAATAAATAATAATTTAATATTCTTTACCTTATTCTTCATTTATAAGAATTGTTAAAATTGTATTAATTTCTTTTTCAAATTCATATGTGATATCCTATCTTTATTCTAATTTTTTTTGTTTTTTTAATACATCATTAATGGGAAATAAATTTGAGAATTCTTTTAAATACACCTACAAATGAAAAATTGAATGACTCTACATATTGTATATTATATTGATCAATATTTCAGCAAGATATCTCTTACTTAATACATTCAAATGAGTTATTGACTTAGAAATCTAAATCAAAAGACATTCTAAAAATGTTTAAATTATTGTTTCAGTATTTGGATTGGAAATCAATGAAATTAATTCAGACAATTCTGTTCCATTTAATTTCTATTGTAAATAATAATTTATTAATTTTATTAATTCAGAAATACTATGCTGTTGAATTTCCAAACGTTTAGTAACATCTTATTTTTAGTTAAACTAAATGATAATATTTTTTGGTATAAGTTCTGTAATTTTATCTATATTTACTAATAGAAATAGTTTTCTAAAAAATAACAATACAAAATAGTTATTCAAACTTTCCTATTCATCTGTACTATATTTTGAATATAATTTATCCCAATTTATTTTTAAATTGGATGTACAATAATAATGTGATAAACATTCAGTTACTTACTATATTACAAAAATATTATTCATAGGTAATTAATCAATAAATTATTCAATAATTTCAAGTACATCAATTTAAAATAATTTACAAACTATTATATAATTTTAAATTGAGAATACTAAATTATTGTTTTGAAATTTTACTCTTGTTTATCATTAACTACTAAAATTTATTAAGGTTTCCAAATTTTATATCTTTTAACTATAGGAATTTTAAATCCTATTCTTAATTGTCTAACTTGTGTCATCTCTTCATTAAATAATAAATAAGGCCTACGATAAGATGATTTTAAAAATTATAAAAATATTTAAGTATGTGCATCTTTTTCTTAATTATTTAAAAAGTTTCTAATTGATTACCATAAATGATAAAGTCTATCTTCAGTTTTCCTTTTAGACATTAAAACTTCCACATTCTGAATAATATTCTTAACTTCAATTTGGTTTTTCTCCATCGCCTTTATCATTGCATGAGGCAAAGTAGTTAATAGAATTTATAAATAGAAAGGTGAATTTTCATTCTCAGCTCCTCCTTCTCAATCATACAAAAATTCTACAAACTTACTGTATTAAGTAAACCAACATTCAATTAAGAACTTCAAAATTTTTTATCCCAAAATAGGTGTTTCCTTTTAAGCAATTTATTATAGATGCTCCAATAATCCAAGTATGATTTGATCAGCCAAAGATTAAGTTGCCTGTTATATGATATTTACTTAAAATTACTTATTTTGTGGACAAAAGAGCCATTATTGTAGCATAAATTCCATTTAAGAGGTAATAGTTTTAGCACATTAAATAAAAGATTAAATGATTGCATCTTTTACTTCTTACTTATTTTATTGATATTATTCTCCTAAATATCAACTATCTTTAATAAATATATCTACTCCATCATCACCTACTCTACAAATCTAGAATATATCTCAAAAGTATACTAATTATCTTATTCTAATTATTTCAGGTGGTACTAAATGTTAAATTGCTAGCATATTAAAAATCAATATTTAATTGAATAAATAATTTAATTTTTCATATTTATATATACGTTAAATATGTTATCATCATCTAAACTATTTAATAGTCAATCTCAATTAGAATGTAATATCCATTTAAATTATTTAATTAGAGTGTTTGTTGGATATTTCAAACAAAATTTTACATGACTCAGTTATTGAATCCAATAAGGACTATAAAAATATAGTATTTAGTAGAATTAAGGAAATTACTCTTGAAGCTTTTTAAAAATAGTTAACAGATGAAATTCATCGTTTATAAGCAGAATTAAGATAAGAATAAGCTTTAAATGATTAAATTAAACGAGATTTTTTGGAAAGGGAAGAAGCTATAATTTAAGAATTTGATTCTAAATAAAGAGAATTTTAATTGTAATAAATTAGAGAAGTTTAAGAATTATAGGATTTACTAGAAGCATCAGAAATATAACTTCAAGTAAATTTAAATTTCAAATTAGAAATATTAACAATAAAATGATAAATTTAATAAGTAAATTAAAGAATTACAATCTAAAGAACAGCAATTATTGAAAGAGAATATAATTACAAAAGAAAATTTTTAATAATGTGATTAACTATAAAAACTATTAAATTCTGAATTGAATGATATGAGAATAAGAAATGAATCTCTTAATTAATTAAATTAATAATTAGATAGATAAAATAGTGATTTTAAAAATGAATGTGAACTTACATTAAAAGAACTTACTGAAATAAAAAGAAAGTCATAATAGTAAATGGATCTCAATATTCAATTAGATTAAGAAATAGAATAATACAAAAATGAAATTGAATAGATTAAAACAAAAAATCATTACGAATTATCTAAATAAAAAGATTTACTTGATTAGTTAAAAGAAAAAAGTAATCAAAAAATAAATGAATTGAAAAATAAGTTAAAAGAAGCTTAAAATATTTAATAATATTAATAAGAATAAATGGATGAATTATAGGGATTAATCAAAGAATCTGAAAATTAACTACATTAGTTATAAATTGATCATAAATAAAATCTTAAATAAATGGAATAATAATATACTAAATAATGTTAAGATTTAGAAGAACAATTTTTAGATGAAAAATTAAATTTAGAGGAGAATTTAACTACTTCTTTTGAATAAGTTATAATAGATAAAGATAAATAAATCTAAGATTTAATTAAAGAACTTAAATTAAATAAAGATAAACTATATCAATAAAATTTAGAATTTGAGAATATGCAAAGGTAATACTAAAATCTAGAAATGGAGATCAATCATTTAAATGAATAATTAAATTAATAAAATTATGATTAAGAGGAATTAGATAATAAAAATAGAATTTTAGAATTGGATATAACTAAAAAAGATTAGAAATTAAAAATTTTACTTTCAGAATTAGATGAAATTAAAGTATTTTAAGAATAAACCTTTAACACTTTAAGAGAAAACTAAGATTATATCACTGAAATTGAGAAGGAAAACTAACAACATTAATAATTTTTATAACACATTTAAAATCTATTAGATATTTAAATTTAAGGATCATTTTCATTTTAAAGATTAGGATAAGAAGTAGAATAAAAATTAAAATAACATAAAGATGATATTAAACGATTGAATGAATAAATAAAAAAGAAAGAGGAATTACATAATTTAGAATTGTAAGAAAAAGATTAAAAACTTATGCTCTTATAAGATAATTTTAATGATGAAAACAATAAAATTTAGTCTTAATTATAAGAATAATAAGTTGAGAATAGAAATTAAAGAAATGAATTTAAATAGAAAATGGATGAATAAAATAAAATAATAATAGAATTATAAAAAGATCAAATTGAGAGTAATAATTAAATAGAATTCTTGTAAATTTAGAATCAATAAATTATTTAAGATTTAGAATTAAATAATGATAAATTGCTATGTGCTTAATAAGAAATTTAAGATATGATCAAAAAAGAAAAAAATTAAAATGATGATATTAGTAAAAAAATTAGCATTTTGAACAATTAAAAAACTTAATTACAAATAAAACTTGACGAACAGAGATTTAAATAAAATAATTAAAAATAAAGAATTTTTAAAGCTTTTAGTAGATATAAAGAATTTACATCTATTTAGTTAATAGAATTAAGAAATTTTTTTATCACTAAATAAAAATAATTAGAAAATGATTGTAAATTAATGTTGCATAATTTATATAAAAAATAATTGCTTATAACTGAAAATAGGATATAAATGATAGAAAATGATAAATACTATGAATTTGAATAAATGAATTTAGAGATGGAGAAAAAATTAGATAATTTTAAGAAGTAATTTAAACAATCAGAATTATTAATTTATGAAGAAGGTTAAATTAAATTAAAATAAAAATAATAATAAATAGAATAATTGATATTGTCAAAAGCTAATGATAATGAATTTAAAAATTAAATTATATTACTAAATAAAGAAAATGAAGAACTTTAAAAATAATTATAATTACAAGAATAAATATTCATTTAATAACAGTAAAATTATGAATTAGAATTAATGAATTTAAATAAACTCATTAAAGAATAATAAGAAGAATTGTATGTTATTATTAATAAATTAGAATATCATAGTAATAATTCTCTGAATATACAATTAGTAAAGAAAGGCAATATTTTGAATAAAGATATTAAGAATTTAAATTAAGATAAGAAAAAAAAGTAGATTAAATTTAATAAGATTATTAATTATAAATCACACAACTAGAAAATATAATTCAATAGCCTATAAAATTGAAATCTTAATCTCCTAATAAAAATATTCAAAAATCTACTATTTATAATTAGTAATCAAAATAATTAAGTAAAAATTAATATTATTTCAGACAATAAATTCTAAATTTTTGGAAGCCCAAACATTAATGCAGGTATAAAAACACCAAATAAAACACTAATTCAAATTGATAATACAGATAAAACAATAGAAGAATTGAGATCAGAGATTTAGCAACAGAAATAAAAACTGAGTCGAATGAAGTTGACATTCACTGAAAGTCAAAAAAAGTCTTATAAAAAAAGTTGATTACTTTATTTTCATTGTATTTATATTATATACTTAAATACTTAAGTTATATTATTTTATGAAAATATATAAAATAAATTTATAAAATAGGTATCTACACTTAGTTTCTAATTAATTGTTTAATTTCAAACCTTTTACTATTATTATTAATATGGGCTTATTTTTAATATGAAAAATTAAGAAAACTAAAAAGTGGTTACTATGAAACAAAATATTTTAAGATAAATTATTCATATTAAATTATATAATGATTGCAATTAGAAATCATCATAAAATTACTTCATCTTATTCTGTCTTTTTTTATTTCATTTAGAGTAAAATGAAATCTGATCTTTTATATGATGGTGCTGTTTCAATTTCTCTGAGTTTCAAAGGACCTTTTTTGATCAATAACTATTCATAAGAAATAATATTACTTATTCTTAATCTTCTGTTTCTTCTAATTCAGGAACTTCAACTGGTTATTAGTATTCAGGAGGCAAGGAGCTTTCATCATTACCAACAATCATGGCTTCTGTTTCTTCATGTGATTCAACCTCTTCTTCTTCAATACCTTCTGGAGGTGGTAAAGAATTCTCATCTGCTCCAACAATAGGTTCTACTTCCTCTGTTTAATCTCTATATTAAGGAGGTAATGAGCTCTAATCTCCACCAACAATAAGAGGTTCTTCTGGTTCATCCCTATATTAAGGAGGTAATGAACTCTTATCTCCACCAACTATTGGATGATCATTTCTTTCTTACTATTTGATAATATTAAATAATTACTGTCAATGCTTCTTTTTCTGCTTCAGTTGTTTTATTATCAATTTCTTTATCATATAATTAGTATAATTGTGAGAAAATAGCTAATTGTTTTAATAATCTTTCATGTTCTTCAACATAATCTTTGTAAGCTAGTACACTATCATTTTTTGCTACTTCAATAGCTCTTTCAATGTCTGTTACTCTTTCTCTGCATTATTTTGCACTGTATTCTAAGGCTAACAATTAATCACCTAAATTTTCCTAATTACTTTAGATAAATTAAATTTACTAATTATTTTCCTAATTCAACAATCTTTTATTCAAAAAATTCATTTTCTTTAAGGATTCTTTATTTCCATTCAAGATAAGCTAATCCTACTCTAATCATATCAGCTTGTGCAACTGGAATATGTGAATTAATATGAGCTTCTAATTCATCTAAAACTGCTAAGATTTCATGTCTAACTTCTTAGAATTTCTTCATTTCAATTGGTCCCATATGTGTTTCAATCATATTAGGATTTTCTTCTCTTTCAATTTCCATTGTTCTTGTTAATTCCAAAAATTCATATTTCTACTCTTTTATATCCTAAAGGAATGAAAGAATATTTTTCATAGCTTATGATTTTTATGCAAATGATGTGCCTTCTGACACTATTTTTTCAAGTTATTCTTTAACAAATATTGAGACTGTTAATGAAATTTTATCATCTCTGACTGTATCAACAAAGTTCAAAGATTGTCTACATTATAGATCTTCAATAGTTTGAATTCTATTTTTATTGACGTGAATTCTATGTTGGATCCATGCAATTAAATCAGACATTTCTTAGATTTCTGTTTTTTTATTGATTACATTTTCATCTCTTCTATCACAATCAGCCTCTTAATCAACTTTTGTTTATCTTAATGCTTAAATACTAGCTTGTTTCATCTTTTATCATATTTAATAATCAATACTTTTTATGTTAACAACCATTCAGCATCTAAAGCTACGATTTGCTCATGTATTTCATCCTTCAGTTCTAAAAGTAATTCTTGCACATGCTTAATATCATTATGTGCCAGAACAACACATGCCAAAAATGCAAAAAGCACTATTTATTTCATCTATTAATATAATAAAAACGGGTAATTAATATGTTATATTGATTTTAATTTATAACTATAAATATTTCCATTTTTATTCAATTTCATATTTACAATCAATTCAACCATCTATCATTCATTTTATATACTTATCTTAAATAATTGAGAACACTCATTTTAGTTAAATTATGCTATGAATATTATTAAACAAAAAATAATAAAATTATATAATTAAATCATAATAATAGTCAATTTCATTAGTACTTTTAAATACTTGGATTGTCTAAGCATATCTTTCTCAAAAATAGTAATATTTTTATAAATAATTGGGAAAGAAGATAATAATGAGAAATTTTTGAGAATTAGTAAAAGAACATGACTAATAACTTTACATTTATTAATTGTTAAAAAAGATGAATTATAATAATAAAATTAAATAATATATTTGAATCAAAAGCTCAGATTTGTAAAAAGAATAATATCTCTATTATTTGTCAATTTAAAAACAGAATTTCCTTAAAATTCAATTTTTTTTAAGAATTATAATAATAATAATTTTTTGGTGTAGCTAATATTTAGATGATATAAATCCTTTACTTAAAATTACAACTGACAATTTAGCAAGATTATATAAGTCAGTTTGGTTAGAACAGTTATAGATATTCAAACTATTTTTTAACCAAAATATTATTATAACTCTAAAGTATGAATTAAAATCTAAATTTGATATCTCAAATAAGTTAAGTAGATTGATAATTAAAGATTATATGTTAGAGAGTTACAAAACAAAGGAATTTTTATAAAAATCATCTAGAGATTAAACAAAATGTTGAAGTATTTAAAAAGAAAGGAAGATCTATGAATATTATGATTGCTGAAATGGAATTTTAATTGATTGTTTAATTTATATTTACTTATACTTATGTTATAGTATNGATTGTCTACATTATAGATCTTCAATAGTTTGAATTCTATTTTTATTGACGTGAATTCTATGTTGGATCCATGCAATTAAATCAGACATTTCTTAGATTTCTGTTTTTTTATTGATTACATTTTCATCTCTTCTATCACAATCAGCCTCTTAATCAACTTTTGTTTATCTTAATGCTTAAATACTAGCTTGTTTCATCTTTTATCATATTTAATAATCAATACTTTTTATGTTAACAACCATTCAGCATCTAAAGCTACGATTTGCTCATGTATTTCATCCTTCAGTTCTAAAAGTAATTCTTGCACATGCTTAATATCATTATGTGCCAGAACAACACATGCCAAAAATGCAAAAAGCACTATTTATTTCATCTATTAATATAATAAAAACGGGTAATTAATATGTTATATTGATTTTAATTTATAACTATAAATATTTCCATTTTTATTCAATTTCATATTTACAATCAATTCAACCATCTATCATTCATTTTATATACTTATCTTAAATAATTGAGAACACTCATTTTAGTTAAATTATGCTATGAATATTATTAAACAAAAAATAATAAAATTATATAATTAAATCATAATAATAGTCAATTTCATTAGTACTTTTAAATACTTGGATTGTCTAAGCATATCTTTCTCAAAAATAGTAATATTTTTATAAATAATTGGGAAAGAAGATAATAATGAGAAATTTTTGAGAATTAGTAAAAGAACATGACTAATAACTTTACATTTATTAATTGTTAAAAAAGATGAATTATAATAATAAAATTAAATAATATATTTGAATCAAAAGCTCAGATTTGTAAAAAGAATAATATCTCTATTATTTGTCAATTTAAAAACAGAATTTCCTTAAAATTCAATTTTTTTTAAGAATTATAATAATAATAATTTTTTGGTGTAGCTAATATTTAGATGATATAAATCCTTTACTTAAAATTACAACTGACAATTTAGCAAGATTATATAAGTCAGTTTGGTTAGAACAGTTATAGATATTCAAACTATTTTTTAACCAAAATATTATTATAACTCTAAAGTATGAATTAAAATCTAAATTTGATATCTCAAATAAGTTAAGTAGATTGATAATTAAAGATTATATGTTAGAGAGTTACAAAACAAAGGAATTTTTATAAAAATCATCTAGAGATTAAACAAAATGTTGAAGTATTTAAAAAGAAAGGAAGATCTATGAATATTATGATTGCTGAAATGGAATTTTAATTGATTGTTTAATTTATATTTACTTATACTTATGTTATAGTATGGTCAACAGCAGTTTTTATTCTTGTTATTTGTCTGAAGTTTATGGAACATTTCATTGATATCAAAATATTATTCAAAAAATTATATAAAAATATGAAGGAAATATTACTAAATGGCTTAAATTCTCACAATTGATTATTCAAAAATTATTTACAATCATCATAAAGATATTATATAGAGATAGAAAATAGAAGGTTAAAAGGAAAACATTGAAAAAATTTTTTATATTTTTAATATTACACTTAATAAATGTAGCTAATGGATTTGAAAAATGTTAATCAAAATCTTTATATTGATTAATTATTCTTATAATTTTATAATTGTTCTTTTTTTATCCAACATTAATAAATTATTTTTAATTATATACTAAGCCTTAATTTTATGGAAAATATTATTATTACTATATATATTGTCAAAAGTAAATGATTCTTTACAATAATAGATTACTTATTTACTGGAATTCTAAAAGCTATTTAATTATATACAGAATTTATAATTTTAGCATTATAAGATAATATATAGATCATTATACAAATACAATACTATCTTTAGAAATAATTGGCTTACAAACTTTTATTTTTTTGATTTTAATCGATGATGAAGATGTATCTACTAATATAGATTATGTTTTTCCAACAATTGTCGTTTCACTGCTTTTCTATTTTTTGATCTTTTTATTAATTTTATTCTTATTCTTATTCTTAAATAAACCTTTCGAAGTAAGTGTCTCTTCATTTTCTGAATAAAATTTTTTGATATTAAAGAAATCTATTGGAATATTTTGAATTAATTTTCTTTTATTTTCAACTAGTATCTCAAAGATTGATTATTAATACAAACTATCGAAGTTACCTCCAATTTCTAAAAATGTTCTTTTCAATTTTTAGATAGAATCATTTCGTTAACATCTGATGCAAAAACATTAACCCTTAGATAGTAATATTTAAGTACTTTACATTATGGACAAATCCAATTAGGCCCAGAAATATCATATTCTTTAAATTCATATTACAAACATTTAAAACAAAAATATTTTTAACACTGGATTTAATTATCTTTTAATTATTATTTTATTTACTTTCTATAATATAGTTAGTAGAATATAGATCTATGTAAAATTATTACATTTATTTTTAAGAAATTGCATATCTCTATTAGATCAGTATTTCTTCATTTTATTATTGTAATTTCATATTTACATGATTGTATTTACATTATTATAAATCTGTTATTTCTATCATTTATCTACAACAATGACACATTTCAGTTTTGATTGAAACTATTGTTTATGATTCATCTTAATTGTACTATTACTAAACATTTAACTCTAATTCTATTTCTCGAAGTCTTTAGAAGTTTTAAAATTAATCGAATTTAAAATCTATCGGAGTTTTACTTAAATATTTATCAAAAGTAATAGAAACAAGATTTGCTATTATATTAATAATTAATATACTTTCTGAATTATAAATTGCCTTTCCTATTGAATCTGCTACTTAATAATCTTAATAATGAATTATCAATTTTTCTAGATTTTCTAATTCATTTTAATGATGTTATACTCTAATTCTTTAAATTCTTAATGCAAATTAACCTGTTTATTTAATAGTATATTAATATAATAAATTTCTATTGATTTCTTCTAAATGTTTTGCAAGACTAAAATTTAAAAACTAAAAAATACTTATTTATCTATTTAGTATTTCTATCTTAAACTTTTATTAAATCATCTTCTAATTCCATTATCACTTATTACAATTAATCAGGTAAATCTATTTTTTGCTACAAGTTTGATAATATTGAAGCTTCTTATTACAAAATTTCCATTTATTTTTCCAAAGGTAATAAATACATATTTTAGAACAAAATCTTATTTGATTCCAATCTGTCTCTTAATTCTTTCTCGCAAATCTTATCTATCATTTCATTAATTAATTCTTGAATTGGCTCGAATGATTTTTCTCTTTACATTAACAATAAACTTAAGTGCACTCTTACATTATTATCATTCAACTTTTAAAGCTAGGATTCACTTTTTTTTAAGGATATCAATGTTTTATCTATCCATTCTTAAGTCTATACACTTGGAAGATTAGAAGCTAAAACTAACATAAACACCTACATTTTTTATATATTTTTTTCTAAACATTTAATGAAATTGGTGATTCTACCATAAAAAACTATTGATTAACTTCTCGCCAAAAATCAGATGTAAAAAGAGATTCAACACTTTTATCCATTTTTAATATTAATTTTTACAATCAATAAAATGCCCTCATTAAATCTATAAAAACAGCTTAATTTAGAATCAAAATTCAATCCTTTTGCAGAAAAAACTTAAATTAATTAATATTATTATGCTATCTTATTTAAGAAAGTTGTCATTTATTTGAACTCTACTCAGGATAGAAAAAGAAATAAAATAAAATGAAAAATTATAATTATCAAATTTGATATTAAACTTTTTAAAACAAATTTTAGTAGATCTTTCCTATATTATTTACTTATTATAGAAGTAAAAATATAATACAATTAAATAAGTCTAAATTAATATGGCCAATCAATTATTAAAATTATTATAATAATATAGCAACTGACTACTTTAACTTTCATATTGTTTTTTACTATCAAGATTAAATCATAATCTTTATTCAATAAATACCAATTTAATCTTGATAATTCAAGATTATAATAATAATATTAATACAAAAGCAAACAACTAATAAACCTTTTTATTGAAAAGCAAAAAATAATCTAGAGAATCATTTTATAAACTTCAAAATTATAGTATACTTTAAAGCTCCAATTTACTTATTATAGATTTTTGTAAAACTGACTCTATATGTAGTTAATAGAAGAAAGTGATCAATAACAAATATCCTATTCCATTATTCTTCGAATATTGAAGATGAAATTAAATTTTAATGGAACTTATATCAATAAGGAATTTATGATAAGTTTTGTCAATCAATTTCTAATCTTAAATAATGAACTAAGAAAAATTAACAATTTTTTAGGATCATTTTATTCTAGAATTCTGATTTTCTATGCTCTATTTTTGATTTCCAAAACTGAGGATTTAAATTACAAATTAAAAACTATATCCTAATACATGTTCTCGATGCTGGAATTATAACTCTTTTTCCTTCTATAAATTACTTTAAGTTTATTAAAGAATTCTAAACTCATAAAATTTTTAAAATAGAATGTTTATAATTGATTTACTTATAATACTGACAATTGAAATTATTATTCATATTAAATTAAACCTCTTATTTACTATCTCATGATTCCCAATATAATGACCTAGAATACTTAAATAAAATAATGCCTATTGATTCCAAAAACATAAATATTTATAATTCTATAAGAAGCAACCATCCTCTACTTATAGAGATTATTACTTATATTGTCAATTTAATCATTCATTCATTTATTTTTTATTTATTAAGTTGTTTAAGAAATTAACAATTTTTTTGATGAAGTATCCATACTCTCATTTTAATGAATTATAAGCTAAGTAATTTTTTTTTTAGCTTAATTTTATTGTTTTTTATAATTATCTCTTTATACTTTATTATTATCAACCTGTCTAAAAACTAAAAAATTCAATAAATATTAGTAAATAAGCAAGATTATTTTTTATTTAATAATGAAAATTAAACATCCTCCTTACTTTATAAGTAATTTTAAATATGATTATAATTAGACTGTTTCAATAATTCAAGAAATTTGGTCAATAAATTTCATACTACTAATATATTTAAAAACCTTATAAAAATTCAGACATCATCACTAACTGCTTTTTTAAAAATTGTAAATAGTTCAAAAAAAATAACTATCTGATAATTCTGCCAATTTTTAAAAGTAATATAGAATTCAAACGTATTATTAAAAACATGTCTTCAATTTAATTTTAAATGAATTAATTTTTAGTAAGAGTTGTTAAAGTAATCAATTTTACTTTATTATTATTTTCATTTCCGCACAAACATTCAAAAAATTAATAAAAATATTAAATTTCAATTTATAAGGTTCTTATTGTATGATAGTAATTTTGAATTTTAACAAATATTTTTAGATTCTTAAACACA